TCATTTTTCTCATATGAACAAGAGCCTAACAACTCCACAATTCTGATTGTAACAAGTTGATTGCAACCCACAATGTCATTATCAAAATCTCAAAAACATCACTCCACTTAAACAAAATCAAAGGGATATTTCTTCAAACTTTTCAAACCCTGATCCTCAAGTAGCCTTTTAAAATCATACCACTATTTCTTCAACAATTCTTCCTTAATTCTAGCATTTTTTGTTTGCGTGGTGACGGAATGGCAGAGTTTAAGGCCAAAGTAAATGGAATTAAAGGCGGTAACAAGATTGGAAGAGAAGTTTTTGACTTCAAAATGAAGGTTAGTGGGCAATCATCAAGGTTAAAAGGGAGGTTGATGTTTTATGAGCCCGAGTTGCGTGGTTTATTTATGAGGATGATGTATAAAGAGATGACTAACACATTTTTTCAACCCCTAATAAATTATTTTAAGGTAGTTTGTTCTTTTCATCTGAATTAAAAAATTATGTTGATTAAGGATGTAAGCTGTAATTTTTTAAATAATAGAGGTAAAATGAAAAAAAATAATTATGCTAAAGTATGACTAGGATACTTTTCCTTTTTTCTTTTATTTTTTTTAAATCAAATTAAATTTCAACTTAATTGAGAATCGAGTTGCTTGGTTGATTAGGTCACACCAAATCAACTTTTACTAGATTTAATTTAAAACTTCATCTAAATTATGAGCTAGATTGATATGTTTATTGAGTTGATCCACAGTCCAAGTAGATTTAATAATACTAGTTTTGGTATATAAAAAATGGTTTTGCGAGACTTTCATTATCATCACGATTAATAAAAATTCTACTCTTTTTCTTGTGAGGGAGTGATTAAGAGTATGGTTAAATAATATTTTTAAAAGTTTTTGAATTGTTTTGATATGATTGGTTAAAAATAAATTTTAAAAAATAAAAAATATTTTCAAAAATATTTTATGCTACAAAACTAATAAATAAATAAAACTAAATCGTAGGATATCTTGCATTTTAGCTGCTTCTCGTTTAGTAATAATAAAGAAATAAAATAAGTTGACTTCTAGAAATATATAATCTACTGAAAGCGAAGACATTTTAAGCACTGGAAACACCAAGGAGCTTTCCCTTCCCGGTCATACAGAGTGTTCATTGACCATAGACTTGTGGTCCTAACGTGTGAGGTTGCCACTACAGTTTTCTTTCCTTCACTATAAAATCTCGGCCAATGCCTCTTCAACTCAACAAGTCTATAATCTTTGCCACCTCCTGTCTGAGTTCTTGACCTCAGACTTTCTTTAGTTGCTGTCTTTCATCTTCAATCTTCTCTGATCAGATCCCTCAAAGCTACAAAAATGATGGTGAGAATCAAGCTTTCTTTTCTTGCTTTTCTTCTAGTTTCTTGATTATATAAGAGAATTTACATGAACTTATAATCTGTTGCAGAAAGCGGTGTTGAAGTTGGATTTACACGATGACAAATACAAGAAAAAGGCTATGAAGAGAGTCTCTGGTCTTCCAGGTATTGATTTCTTCTTTTATGATCATTAGAATATTATAAATCAATAATACTATTGAAGTGTCTATGATTTTTTATTTATAGTAAATTAAGTTTTTTGGGATGGAAATTTGCAGGGGTGGATTCAATAGCCATGGACATGAAGGACAAGAAGTTGACAGTGGTTGGGGACATCGATGCTGCTAGCATAGTGGGCGAGTTGAGAAAGATTTGCCACACAGACATAATCTCAGTAGGACCAGCAAAAGAGCCTGAAAAGAAGAAAGAAGAGCCCAAGAAGGTGGAGCCGAAGAAGCCAGAAGATGCTGTGGCTGAGTGGGTGAAGGCTTATCAGGCCTATAATCCTTATTTGACCACGCATTATCACGTTAGAAGTGTCGAGGAGGATCCTAATGCTTGTGTCATTTCTTAATTTTTTTTTATTAGATGCTTGAACAAATCACTGCTGAAAGCATAATACACAATTTCATTAAGCTTTTAGTATGTTTGTTTGTTTATATATATAGATATTAAATCCGATATGAGATTAAGTCCAAATTAATGCATTATATTAAAAATTAATTAAAATCATTCATCCCAAGTCATAATTATTAAGTCCTGTAGGAGATTTATGCAAGAGATTATGAGTTAAAAGGATTAACTTAATTTTAAAAAAATATATCAAAACATTATCATTTTATTATTATTATTATTTTAAAATCAACAGATTCTCAATTAAACTAACCAAATTCTAGATCAACTAAGATTCTTAATAGAATCATACCGGATCAATTCTTTCTTATTAATTAAAATTCTACTCAAACTAGATTCTAAATCAATCAATTCCCAAATCAATTTCATAAACCGGGTCGGTTTCGTAACCATAGGGTGTAATCCATGACCATAAAAAGCTAGTGAATATTGTTACGACAAACCTTTCAACATTAAAAACTCCAACAAACAACCAGTCAGTAATAACTTCCATGATAGCCACAATATCCCCTGTGGTCTGAAGGCCCCAATCACAGAACAATAATATTGGCCTTTCCTAATCTCCAGAGGCTCCGCCAAGCTAGAGAAAAAGACATACTTTATCTGTCATCTCTCCAGGGCTACCTTCCAAGAATCTCCTCCGCCACTACAGTCGGATATTAACCACCATCCCAGGCCTGTCAACCACGAATCTTGAGATGCCATACCAACGCTTGCATTTGTAACTTACGGTTTCAGAAACTAAACGATGTATTTATTAATCCTTTTATTTTTTTTAATCCATTTATAACTTAATTAATTCTTTTATCAATTTCATTTTCTCTTTTAATTTACTTTGTTTTTAGAAAAATTAAAAGAGAAGTAGATAAAATGAGAAACTTGATGAGGAAAATAAACTACTAAATTGAAGATCATAAACACAAGTTAAGGATTGTTTAATTATTTCTTACACTAAATGAATTAATAAATTAGTTTTAATAAACTCCAACGGTTTTTTGTTTATAATAATCAATACAATGAACTCAAAGAAGACTAAAAGAAAAAAAAATATTGGAAATAAGTCCCAATCATAGCATGCACAGGTCAATTCCCGTGTATGAAAAATCAAGGTCACTAAATTCTATTCAATTAAAAACAGATGATGAGGAATCAAATCAAAAACCGCATTCCAATCCTCTGTTTTAATGTTAAAAACAACTTGATTATATGATGAGCTAAATTCTCCAAGCTAATAAAAAAAAACACGAGGTAGCCAAGACTTGTTCCTCATCTTTCCGGTTGCAAGCCCCCGCCATTCTTACAAGAGGTTATTTATTGTCTTTGACATAAACTCATATGTCTTGTTAGAGGATATGTCAATCACAAAATGAGGAATGGAAACAAGAAATATAAGCTTAATTAGAAGACTGTATAAATTAAGCAGTTGAAGAATTAGGATTTTAAAATTACCTTAAATCCTAAAACTCAGTAATCGAGTTTGCTCCTTGCAAATTACCTTAAGTCCAAGTATTTAAAAACACTATAAGAAAATACGTTTTAAATAAATATATAAATCTGAATTTCTTCTACCTGTAATAGTCTCCCTACTTAAAAACTTATTGCATGAAACTACAGTAAAAGTGAGAATTTATATTAAAGAGTAATATAAAATTATTTTTTAAATTTTATTAAATAATTTAAGTTTTTAAATTGGATTGTATTATTAAAAAATTGACAAATAGCAATAAAAACACAGACAAAAAAACTTCATTTATAATTTTTTATGGAATTTTTTTGTTATTAATTTTCTATATAAATAGCAATGAAAATATGCTTAGTTGATAATTTTTGATGAAATTGCTAATAGAATAAAAAAATCATAAAAAATTTGACACACCAGCATTTCCCAACAAAATAGTCAAATTACTTAATTAAATAAATTAAAACCTGGAAGTTCATAAAATAAATAAAAAAAAAAACCAACCGTGATCTCTCACCCCACTTTCTTCTTCTTTTTCTTCATGCCACACAAAAAAAAAAAGAAGCAGCCCCTCCCTTGTTTTGTTGTAATTAAATTCAGCTACAATCCTGTAAATCCAGCCACTCCAAGACGGTATTTAGCACAGTTAATGGAGAGTGTTTTTTTTTAAAATTATTTATTTATTTATTTTAAATTAATATAGTTTTAATGATTTAGATTATTTTGATATTCTAATATCAAAAATAATTTTTTAAAATAAAAACATTATTTTAATGTATTTAGAAGTAAAAAGCATTTTAAAAAACAACCATTAACATATTTTCAAATACCATTTAAATTCTAATCACCAGCAATCTAAATCATGTTCAATTTCTTGTGTAAATTTATTTTTTTAATTTATTTATATTTTAAATTAATTTATTAAAATTTTTGTATAATATTTGTACTTTGCTTGAATATCTAAGTGTCTAATAACTTTTTTCTAAAGAATTTTATTGTATTAATATATAATTTGTATGTTAATATTTGTTTGAGATTTAAAGGGAATTAATTTTATTTCTCATTTGATAAAATTAAGTTTAACTTTTTAATTTAGATATGTTATAATTGAAGAAATGATGAGTTGTTTAATGAGTATTAAATATATTTTATGAATTTTATTGTCAAATTAAAAAATTTTAAAAAATGATTTTTTATGGAATATTTAGGTTGAATAAATTTAAATTAAATAAGTAATGAATAATTAGTTGGTTTATTTTATAAAGGTTTTAAAAGTAATAGATAATTATTTTTTGATGTATTAAGATTTTTTGAAGAGGATATTACTGCAGTATTATTTTAAAACAATTGATGATTTTATTAATGTCATGCTTTGTACTATGAACAATATTAATGCAAATAAAATTAGAAGTAACAAAATATAATTTTACACATCAATTGGAGCTTAGTAAATAGCCTAAATTAAAAAATAAAAAGATAAGACACATTAAAAAAATGCAATTAATGAAGACGAGCGGGTTTCCACCCTGTTTCCTTCGAGTTTTTCCACCCTGTTTCCTTCGTTACTCGTTGAAAAATAGACTATTGTCCTACGGTTGACTCATTTCTCTCTCCTTCACTGTAAAATCTCACCCCCCAAGAAACTCTTCAGCTTACCAAGCTTATAATCTCCTTTCCCATTTCCTGGCCTCTTCTTTGCCGTATTTGACCTTCAACTTTCTTTGTCCAGATCCCTCAAAGCCGCGAAAATGAAGGTGAGAGTTGAGGCCTACTAGACTCTATCTTTTGTGCACATTGCATGCGTGAAAGAATGAGTCCAGTTTTCATTTTTTCCTTTTTTTTTTCCAGTTTCTTGATTATCTTGATATTGATTTATAAAATAAATTTACATAGACTTATTTTGTTGTAGAAAGCTGTGTTGAGATTGGATCTGCATGATGAGAAAGCTAAGAAGAAAGCCATGAAGACAGTCTCTAGTCTTTCAGGTATCATTTTTTTTTTTTTGGGTTCATTACTTATAAATCTAGATCATCATTACATGATGAGAAAGCTAAGAAGAATGCCATGAAGACAGTCTCTGGTCTTTCAGGCATTAATATTTTTTTTGTTCATTACTTATAAATCTAGATCATCATTTAAGCATTTATGAATATTTTTTTCTTAAATCTTGTGATGCAAAATTTGCAGGGGTGGATTCAATGTCCATGGACATGAAGGAGCAGAAGTTGACAGTGTTTGGGGACATTGATCCAGTACACATAGTGGCCAAGTTGAGAAAGCTGTGTTGCACAGAAATAGTTACAGTAGGACCAGCAAAAGAACCTGAAAAGAAAAAGGAAGAACCCTAGAAAGAACAGCTGAAGAAGCAAGAAGAACCACTTGTTACCATTTTAGAAATGTGGAGGATGATCCTAATGCTTGTGTCATTTCTTACTATTTTAATTCTAAATGTAAAAGAAATTATTTCGGGAAATAAAAAGTTTCAATTCCATAAAACATTCAAGAAAATATAAGTATGATTTCAATTTTTAAATTCATAAAATTAAAGACGTATAAGTTTTTTTTATCTATCCTATCAATCCATTAGGAATTGTTGTATATAAATTAAATTTTAAAAAAATTATTTAATAGGACAGAGAAATGGCTTCCTTCTTGATTTCATTATTTATAAGAAAAAAAATATAAAAATACCCAATATTTACTGATTAGATACACACAAAATCTCCAGCCCAACTCCATGAGATTTAATGCATGGTTATAAAATTCAATTTAATGCATAAAATTGATTTAATCTATATTATAAACAGAGAGAGAGAGAGTTAACTTATCTTGACTAATTTCTTTTCAAAAAAAGAAAAAAAAAGTCATTAAATTAAGGATAAAGTACTGTGTCTTGACTTGGGTCAATTGAATTTTAAATCAATTTTAGTTCTTGACTGAGTTATGACGAGTGAATTATTTCTTTATTTTTTTTTTAAATTAGAACCGGTCTAGCCTCAAGACAGTTTAAATCATTATACTGTGCAAACCGAGTTTTATAATTAGAGTTTAATAATGAGTTAAGGAAGCAACCGATCTGAGTTGACTGGATCCTCCCGTGTCCATCCCCAGAGCAAATGCTTTTATAAAGCTGGACATTTTATTTTCTTCTAGTCTAGTTTCTATCAAGCTTTCGGGAGCATACAGAGATCTGTAACCTAGTCCTCATAGTATATCAAAAACTCAGAATTGATCCAGTCAAGATACAGATCATTTATTGGGAGTGTCGCACCCGACATCGCGACGACCTTAAAAATTATAATAAAATGGAAAGAATGGATTTCTGGCATCCAGTTCTTTGATGATAAATGATCTTTGTTTAAAGAGTCGCCACCTAGTATTATGGTTACTAGGAACCCTAACTGGTCAATAGAGATTCTATGGTTCGAGACTGGTTACGTAAAATGAAAGATATCATCACCCCTTAAATGTCCTACCTAAGGTAGACTGCATTGCTACTCTTTGTCTTTAATTGCTAATATTTTTTTGGTTTATGCCATGGTGGTTTTGCGTGTAATATTCCTGACTCTGGCGTCAGTGAATATTTAACTACAGATATTTTCCATCCCGAAAGCAAATCCTATTGGTTTGGTCTCTAATTAATTCCGTTGAATTATTATCATCCAGAGATTCATAACGTTGTCCTCAGAGCCTAACGAATTAACTGACGCTCATGCCTCATAAATTAATTATGTATTTGGTTTTTATATTTTGAATTTATATAAAAACTTAATCCTCTAGCCAGTCCTATGTTTCTTTTTAATTTGTTGTTTTTTTCCTTTTTAAGAAAAAGAAAATGAAAAACAAAGGGATAGCTTTTCAGAAGAACAAAGCTACCGAGTAATTATTGGTTTCTGATGGATTTTTTAATAAGGGGATAGTTATTTAATTAATTAATTTCAATAAATCTTCGTTGACCGACCGCAGGCACGAACCCACATGCATGTACTGTGAATCCATTGATTGTCCATACCGTGACAAGGTTCGATGAAGAAAGTGATTAACCTTTTTCGGCATTGTCTGGAACTTTCCTAACGCCCGATTGAAAGCAAAGCAAAGAAAAGACCAGATCTGTTTCTACTTGATTTACAAGGAAATGAAAGATTTCATGCATTCACACTGACCGGAGACTGGAGAGTTGTTTCCGAGAAAGAGGGAATGGAGTGTGTGATTGACTTGACTCCACAGTTAAGAGCCACCGGCCATGACCGGCCTGAGACTTTAGTTATGGGTTGTGCTGGTTAAGTAGATGATGTTCTTTCGAATAATTTTTTAAATTAAAAAAATATTATTTTAAATAAAATTTAATTATTTTTATTGAATCACAATATGGTTTAATTTTTTATTACAAGTTTATTTATAAAGTTATTTAAATTTATCATGTTAACTATAGAAACATCTCAAAACAATATTAGTATAGACCAAGGTCCAATATGTCGACGGATAAGGAATCATTAACAAATCCTTTAAAATAAGTGGGAAAATTTTTTCCTTACGTGTTTCTTTTTTGGTTTTTTGTTTTAATTTTTCTATTTATTTTTGTTATTTTTATTTATTTTGTTTTTGTTTTTCCCCGTATATTTTTTCATTTTCCCCCATATTTTTTTGGGTTTTACACATTTTTTTTGTTTTTTTTCCATAGATTGTTTTTTTTTTGTGTTTTTTTAAATTATCTTTGTTGATTATTTTTTAATATTGAATTGATTGATAATTTAGTATAATAATTTTTTTCTTTAAAACATTATATATTATTACAATATTTTTTATATAATTTTTTTATGAATTTTATTTTTTTCCACAATAGTCTTTATTGATTTTATTTTTTTTATATTGAACTGATTGAGAATTTTACTTCATAGATTTTTTTTTTTAAACATTGTGAATTGTTACAATGTTTTCCTACATTATTTTTATTTTGTTACAGCGTTTCCCTACATGTTTTTTTTAAAATTATCTTTGTTGATTTTTTATTTTAATATTGAACTACTTGATAATTTAGCTTTAACTTTCCCCATATGTTTTTTCTCCATGTTTTTCATTTTTTTTTCCTTTTTTTCCAAAATTATCTTCTTCTTTTTTTGTGTTTTTTTACAGAATTATTTTTCTTATTTTATTTTTTTAAATATGAAACTAGTTGAGAATTTAGCTTTGCAATTATTTTCTTTAAAACACTATGGATTGGTATAATGTTTTCTCAAATGGTTTTTTTCTTTTAATTATTTTTTTTTCGGAATTGTCTTTGTCGATTTTATTTTTTTCATATTATACAGATTGATGATTTAACTTTGTAGTTTTTTTCTTTAAAATACTATGGATTGCTGTACTTTCCCCCCATGATTCTTTTATGATTTTTTTTAAAAATTATCTTTATCGATGTTATTATTTTTAATATTAAGTTTATTGAGAATTACAACTATATATTTTCTCATAAAATATTATAGATTGGTACAATATTTTTTTATATTGTTTTCTTTTCCTTTTGTTTTTCTATGATTGTTTCTAAAAAAAATTTTGTTGATTTTTTTCTAATATTAAACTGACTAAGAATTTAACTGTATAGTTTTTTTAAAAAATCAATTATAGATTACAATAATTTTTTTCTATATAACCCTTTTTTTTATAAACTCATGACAACTCAAAAGCATATAACAAGCACACGGGCATAACATCTAGTAACACCCAAACAATGTAATGAGTTAGCTATCACAAAGTTAGTATTTAATAATCTATGATTTCAATGGTTTATGTTTTTTTTTTTATATATATAAAAAAATGAAAGCAAATATATTCTTAGAAAATGAAATGATAAAGCTGTTTATTTCACAATTAAAAGTGCCATGACTTATATGAGAATTTAGTTACGAGTTGAGCTGGTTAAGCAAATGATGTTGATGTTGTTTTGAATAGTTTTTTAAATTAAAAAAAATATTATTTTAAATAATTTTTCTATTAGATCACCCTTATCATATATTGTTTTCATATATCATTTGATTTTTTAACACAAATATATTTACTAGATCATCTAAATTTATCATGTTAATTATAGCAACATCTAAAAACAATCCTAGCATAGACCAAGGTCCAGTATTGATGTCAAGGAATCATTAACAAATACTCTAAAATACATGGAGAAAAAGCTTTTCTCATGTGTTTTTTTTTAGTTTTGATTTTTTTTTACTATTTTGTCATTTATTTTTTTTGTTTTTCCCTTCATTTTTTTATTCCCCCCCATTTTTTTTGGGTTTTACATTGTTTTTCTTTTTCTCCCAAAATTGACTTCTTCTTTTGTTTTTTTGTTTTTTTAATGTTTTTTTTCAAAATTATCTTTATTGATTTTTTTTTAATATTGAACAGATTGAGAATTTAGTACTGTAATTTTTTTAAAAAACATTATGGATTACTACAATGTTTTTCTATATGTTTTTTATGAATTTTTTTTTCAAAATAGTCTTTGTCAATTTTTTTTATATTGAGCTAGTTGAGAATTTTGCTTCGTAGATTTTTTCTTTAAAATACTGTGAATTGTTACAATATTTTTTCATATTTTTTTTTAAATTATCTTTCTCAAATGTAGTTTTTAATATTGAGGTAATTGAGAATTTAACTTTAACTTGCTCCATAAGTTTTTTTTATTTGTTTTCATTTTGTTTTTGTCTTTTTTTTCAAAATTGTCTTCTTCTTTTTCTCATTTTTTTCCTTTAGAATTGTTCTTGTTGATTTTATTTTTTTAATATAGAGTTGGTTGAGATTTTAACTTTATAGTTTTATTCTTTAAAACACTGTAGATTGCTATAATGTTTTCCTATATGATATTTTTTTTTTATGATTTTTTTTCAAAATTTTCTTTGTTGATTTTTTTTCCATATTAAACTGATTGAGAATTTAGCTTTGTAGTTTTTTTTCTTTAAAATATTATGAATTGTTACAATGTTTTCCCGCATGATTTTTTTTCAAAATTATCTTAATCAATTTTATTATTTTTAATACTGAGGTTATTAAGAATTATAACTACATATTTTCTCATGAAACACTATGGATTCTTATAGTGTTTCCCTGCATTGTTTTATCTTTGTTTTTTTATGATTTTTTGCAAAATTTTCTTTGTTAATTTTATTTTTTTAATATTAAACTAACTAAAAATTTAACTTTGTAATTTTTTCCTTAAAAATATTGTAGATTACAATAATTTTTTTCCACAAACCCACAACATCGTGCAAGTATAACATTTAGTAACACCTAAACCGTGTGATGAGCTAACTATCAGAAAGTTGGTATTTAACAATCAGGAGGAAGCAAAATCTACAACAATTTTACAATTTTTATTTGAATGATTTATGTTTTTTTATCCAAAAAAAATTAGAAATGAAAAGAAATCAAAGAAAATATATTCTTTGAAAGTGAAATGATAAGTCCATTTGTTTCATAAAAAGTGATTTTTTAAAAATTATTTTTTAAACTTTCTTATATTTATTTATTATTAGATTAATGAAAAACACTTTTAAGTAAAAAAAATTAGTTTGCGGGCAGAGCATCTAGTAACACACCCAAACAGTGTAATGAGTTAACTATCACAAAGTTAGTATTTAACAATCATTAGGAAGATAAATCTTTGATTTCAATGGTTTATGTTTTTTTTTTAATAAAAAAATAGAAATTAAAGAAAATATATTCTTAGAAAATGAAATGATAAAGCTGTTTATTTCACAGTTAAGAGCCTCTGCTATGACCCATATGAGATTTTAGTTACTGGTTGAGCTGGTTAAGCAAATTATGTTGATATTGTTTTGAATAATTTTTTAAATTAAAAAAATATTATTTTAAATAATTTTTCTATATTATCACCCTTATTATATATGGTTTTATTTCTTAAAACAAGTGTATTTACGAGGTCATCTAGATTTATCATGTTGATTATAGGAACATCTAAAAACAACCCTAGTATAGATTGTTTATTTAATGAAAAGTAATTTTTTAAAAATTATTTTTTTTAATTTTCTTATGTTTATTTATCATTGGATCAAAACACTTTTAAGTAAAAAAAATTAGTTTAGTTTTCAGAAAAATATTTTTTTTATTTTAAATGAAAAACACTTTCTAAAAGTTGTGAAAAATTTAAAAATATTATATTATTTGTCAATTATATTAAATTTAATTCTCAAACTTTTGATTACTATATGTATTGTTTCAAATCATTTTTTTCTTCAATTTTATCCCTTAAAATTTGATTTAATTTAATTCTTATATCAATTTTGATCCTAATTCTTTTTATTATTATTTATTTTATTTGAAATAATTTATGAAATTTTAATTTTTAAAATTTTTTTATCTGTTAGATTTGATATCTATTATTTTGATTATTATTTATTTTATTTGAGATAATTTATAAAATTAGATATTTTTTTAATTTTATTTTCATTTAAATTTTTAAATTTGTGAGATTTGTTTCTTATTATTATAATAAACTTGAAAAAATATTAATAATTTATTTTTTAATTTATTTTTTATAATACTACTAAATATTAAAAAATAACTTACTTTTCAAGAATCTATTTAAAAAAATCACTTTGAAAAAACCCATTATTTTCCGGTAAACAAATTAGAAACGAAATTAATCTCCACGCGGAAACAATTTTAAGTTCATTGACCATGAACCACCATCCTCAGCTTGACTCACTGTTCTATCCTCACTCCCTCTATAAAGCCCCGCACAAAGAACACTTCACCTCATCACCGAGTTTTTTTTTAGCTCCTCCTCTCGCCTTACCTCTTCACCTCAAACTTTCTTTATTTACCGTTTGATCTCAACTTGTTCTTTGATCACATCTCTCTAAGCTCAGGAAATGAAGGTGAGAATCATCTCTATAAATATGTATGTATGTGTGTGTGTGTGTGTATTCTTTTAGATGACTTGTATCCATGCATGAAGAATCATGAGCCAAGTTCTTTTCTTTTCCTTTTTCTTTACGTTGATTTACTTATTTTGAGGAAAAAACTTGCTTCTTTTTCATAATTCAGTGAGTTTTGGTAGCTCCAGTTTGACTTGGTTATTGTTTCTATGAGATTATTTGGTATTGATTCAAGTGATTACTGTTTGTTGATCATCTTGATATTTATTCATAACAAAATTTACATGAACTTTTTTTGTTGCAGAAAATTGTGTTGAAAGTGGAGTTGCATGATGAGAAAGCCAAGAAAAAAGCCATGAAGAAAGTCTCTGGTTTTTCAGGTATTGAATTTATTTATATATGGTCATTAATTATCTAATTAATAAATCAAGATGAACGTTGGAAGTATTTATGATATTTTTAAAAAAAAAACTAGTGGTTTAAATTGGGGTGCAAATTTGTAGGGGTGGATTCAGTATCCATCGACATGAATGACAAGAAGATGACAGTGATAGGGGGCATTGATCCAGTATACTTAGTGACCAAACTGAGAAAGCTGTGTCGCACTGAAATAGATACAGTAGGACCGGCAAAAGCGCCTGAGAAGAAAACAGAAACGAAGCCGAAGAAACGTCCAGATCCTGTGGCTTCCCTGCCCCATCATCCTCATAAGCTCCCAAGTCCTTGTATCATTTCTTAATTTGATGTTAAAAACAAATATAATATATAGATATGAAATAAGTGAAAAAAAACTATAGCTCATAAAAGGCCAATTTGTTCATGTAATGCATGGTGTTCTAAAAGAAAATTATTGCAAGAAAAGTACAATATTGTTACCTTAAAAACCTCATCCTCCAAGGAAATATGAAAACTAAAGTGATGGATGGATGCAACATGGTGAACATTGTGATGACTAATGTTGTTTTGGCATATCTTCTACGACCAATCTCAAATACTGTCCTGCAATTCTACTGTTTTGTATGAAAAGGCCAACCCCTTTTCCACTCCACTGACTTTCGGTTTTCTCCGCTATTAGTGTTCTTCGCTTTTGTTAGTAAGATAGTGGTAAAGCCCTTCTCCACCTAGACAGGATGCCACCTAATGTTTGCTTTGCATACCACAACGCCAGACACACGTTAATTATTTGGTCTCCGCTTTTGTCGTGGGGTTGATATTCTTTTTCAACAAGAAAATTAAATATGTAAGCTTTCTTGACAGGTTTTTTAACTTGAAAAATATTAAGTATAAATCAAAAAAATTTATGTATATATTTAATTTAAGAATTATTTTTATGATAACAAATAAAAAAATATCATTAAAGATAAATAAATATATATTTTGACAAGTTGAAAGCCAAATATGAATCAACATACTTGATATTGCAATATTGTTTATTTAACCGATTATATTTAATGATTTTGTTTATTAAAATTATTATTTTTATTTAATTAAATAATAATTAAAATAAACACATATACAAACTTTGTTGCATGAATAAAATGAAAAAAAAACATATTACACATTATTGCAGACATACTATCAAAAAATAAATATTATTTATTTATTTTTTAATAATAAAGTTCAGTTATATAAAACATGAAAAAATTATAGATTAATTAGAAAAATTTATTCAAAAAACTAAATAATAGTATATAAATATGGATGGAAATCTCTAATAAATTAATTTGAAAATCTTAATGATCTACGTAAATAATAGTATATAAATTTAGATTTTAAAATAAAATTATTTATTATTTATTTTTATAATATCAATAATAACTCTGAATTGATGTTGAAAATTAATGGGTTAGGAAAAACAATGAGAGGTTAGAGCTTAAAACAAAAAAAGTATGCAAAAATGGAAGAGAAAGGGGAAAACGTTGATTCTTTGCAAGAAGTATATTCCTTCTGGTTGTTATGGGTTTTTTCTCCTTGATTCTTGAATTTAGAGTTCATGAGACAATTTTTTATTTAGATGTTAATTGGTTTGTGTATCATCTCAAAAAAAGGATAATGAAATAAAAAAACTCAAATTTTATAAATTATTTAAAATAAATAGTCGATACCAAATCTTAAATAAAATTATATTAAATTGTTGATTTAACAATCCAGCTGATACTTGTCAATATCAAAATGAAAAGAGAAAAGCAAAAAAGATTTTGTAAGTGCCAAACTAAAAGATATACACCCTCACACGCTGTGACTGTGATTTTACGAAGATGACATGAAAGATGTGTTTGAGATTCTAATAATAATTATTTTTTAAAATGTTTTTTATTTTAAAATATATTAAAATAATATATTTTTTAAAATTATTTTTGATATTAATATATTAAAATAATCTAAAAATATATTAATTTAAAATAAAAAATAAAAAATAAAAAATAAAAAATAAAAAATAAAAAATAAAAAATAAAAAATAAAAAATAAAAAATAAAAAATATTTTTTTTTAAAAACATTTTTATGCATTGCCAAACACTATTTATAAAATAAAATAGTGTTTAATAAAATAAAATAATTATTTTTTGTAGTTGTTTCTGCATTTTACACTATTTAAAAAATAAAATAGTCATAACTATTTTTTGTAGTTATTTTTGCATTTTATTTAAAACATAAAATAGTCATGACCATGACATCATAAAGTGATGATACTTGTGCGTCTCTTTCTTTTTAGTTGTATAATAATCAGCTTCCTTCTTCTTCTTCAATTTCACCATTATGTTAATTTGTAATAAATATTATCTAATTTTAATGGTTAATTTAATATTTTTTTTTGAAATATATTCAGCTTTAATGGTTAATTTAATATTTTTTTTGAAATATATTCAGTTTATAATGAATATTATTTAATTTTATTTTTTATGTTTAATAAAAATTTTATTTGCATAATTGATTTTTTATTATTATTAATTTATATAGTTTTATATTATGTATTCTAAATAATTTTTTTAAAATATATTTAAAAATAATCACAGAGGATTTTACTGATGGCTTGTATCCGTCAATTGTATCCGTCAATATTTAACATCTTAGTGATAAATTTACAGATGAAATTAATCCGTTGGCATTTCACAGTAGCTTGGCACAAATTTAACAATCACCAATGATTTGTCGATAGAAATAATTTGTCAATTTTTCACACATTTACTGATAAAATATATCCGTCAGTATATTTCAAGCAAGAATTTTTTTGATATATAATTTTTATCTGTAAAATTATTGGTAATTTTTATTTTACCTATTAATATAGTGAAGGAATGAGATATTACTAATGAAAGAAAAGCTGATGAAATATTTTTGTCGGGAATATCATTAATAAAAAAATTACTGATTAGCTATGAATCACAATTTGACAAAATAATTCTGAAAATAAAACTATAAAATAATGTGCATGGACTTGAAGGCCATAAGTTGAGAGGGGTTGGGGGCATTGATCCTGTACACATTGCGGCCATTCTAGTTTCCTCGTAATTGTTTTGTACATTAATTGCGTTTATTGTCCGTAAATCAACTCATGATAAATGAATAATTGCTGCGCATTGTACTAGGATGTTGCTTGATCGATAAATAATAGAGAAGATTTGTATGGACTCCTTGTTTAATTTTGTTTTTTGATAAAATATAAAGAATAATAATTCATTTGTTACTTGAATGTTTTTTTTATATATATTTTTATATCCATGTTAATATATGTGAATTTGTTTTTCGGTTTTTGTTTTGAAATGCCCTTCCTTAAAGTGCATAGCATTTATTTTTTCACGAGTTTGAGTTTTAATTCAGTTATAATTTTTGTAGTTGGTGTAGTCACAAAATAATTAGTTAAATTATGGAGCAAGAAAATAAGTTATTATAGGAAAAACAAATATACAATAGTCTGGAACTCCTTCGTGTAAGTATAGAAATCACCTTCGAAATTCATATATTTAATTACTATATTTTTAAACATATTCATAGCTTAATTAATCATTGTTGTCTATTTTATGTCTTATTTTAATTTTTTATATTCTAATTTAAAAATATAAAAAAGGTACATAGATTATGCACTGTCCATTTCATGACCCATTTTTATCTCAATTTCCAACCCATTTTAATTTTTTTTCCTTTAAGATTGGTGTGATTTAGTCCATTTTTAGTCATTCATTAATTATTTTTGACACTTTCATTTATTTTATTTTTTGTAATTCTTTTATAATACAAAAATAATAAATAACAAACAAAAAAGTCAAGGAGAGGGGTGCTAAGCAGAGAAGAAAACGAGATTAAGATGGTGAATGATCAAATGGAAGATTACATAAACAAGAAAGAATAATAAATATACATCATATTCCAAAAAATATTATGGCAAACATTTTTAAAAAATATAGTTTTGATCACAAATCATCATCAAGAAAGAAAGGAATAGATTCTAAATCAATCAATTCCCAAATCAATTTCATAGGGTGTAATCCATGGCCATAAAAAGCTAGTGAATATTGTCAGGACAAACCTTTCAACTTCTATGATAGCCACAATATCCCCAGTGGTCTAAAGGCCCCCATCAGAAAACAATAGTATTTGCCTTTCCTAATCTCCAGAGGCTCCACCAAGTTAGAGAAAAAGACATACTTTATCTGTCATCTCTCCATGGCTACCTTCCAAGAACCTCCTCCGCCACTACAGTCGGATAGCAACCACCATCTCAGGCCTGTCAACCACGAATCTTAAGTTGCCATACCACCCCTTGCATTTATAACGTAATTATTTTATCAATTTCATGCTCTCTTTTAATTAATTTACTTTGTTTATAGAAAAAATCGAAAGAGAAGCAGATAAGATGAGAAAATCTGATGAGGAAAATAAACTACTAAATTGAAGACCATAAACACAAGTTAAGGATTGCTTAATTATTTATATCATGAATCGATCAACAGTGTTAGCGTAAGCTTTCCAATGTTTTTCAAAAACGAAGTCATTAAATCAAGGACGAACCATTTTCTGGTTTTTGACTGAGTTAGAACGACCCAATTTTTTCTTTATCTTTTTAAAATTAGAACCGGTCCAATCTCAAGGCTGTTGTTGAGTTTTAAATAATTATACTGTGCAAACCGAGTTTTATAGTTTAACGAGTTAAGGAAGCAACCGATCTGAGTTGACTGGATCCTCCCGTATCCATCCCCAGAGCAAATGCTTTTATAAAGGTCGACATTTTATTTTCTTCTAGTCCAGTTTCTATCAAGCTTTCGGGAGCAGACAGAGATTTATAACTTAGTCCTAATAGTCTATCAAATTAACTGATATTTATATTTGATAAATTAATCTAAGTTAATTGAATTTAAATTAAATAAATAATTGATAATTAATGAGGTATCAATTATTTATTTTTAATTTTATTGTTTAGTTCTTTAAAGCAAAATTGAATTTATGTAGAAATAATAGTTAATTATTGGATTATAAATTTATTTTTAATAAAAAATTGAATTTTAAATTTATAGTTATATTATTAATAAATATTGTGATTATTATCATATAAAATTTTTATAAGTAATGAATGATTTTTTTTGAATATATTATTTTTTTAAGGGACTGTATAAGTAAAATTATATTAAAATAGTTGAACATTTTATTAATTTTATACTTTGTAATTAGAAGGATGTTAATAAAAATAAAATTAGAAGTAAAAAATATATTTTTCTTCATAATTGTAGCTTTTTATTCTTGTAAATAGAATACAGTAAAAAATAAAAAGATAAGGCAGATTAAAAAAGTGCAATTATTGGAGAGGAGTGGGTTTCCACCCTGTCTCCTTTGTTACTTGTTGAAAAAAAAGATTATTACCGTCCCATGGTTGACTCATATCTCTCTCCTTCACTATAAAATCTCATTCCCTCAGTACCACTTCGGTTCAGTAAGCTTATAATCTCCCTTCCTCTTTCCTGGCCTCTTCTTTGCCGTCTTCGATCTTCAATTTTCTTTGTCCTGGTCCCTCAAAGCCGCGACAATGAAGGTGAGATCAGTTAAGGCCTACTGGCCTTCTGTCTTTTGTGCACAATGCATGCGTGAAAGAATGAGTCAAGTTTTCATTTCATCCTTCTTTTTTTCCAGTTTCTGGATAATCTTGTTATTGATTTATAAAAAAATTTACATGCATGGACTTATTATGTTGCAGAAAGCTGTGCTGATATTGGATCTGCATGAAGAGAAAGCTAAGAAGAAAGCCATGAAGACAGTATCTAGGCTTCCAGGTATTAGATTTATTTATTTTCCTTCTATGATCCACATTATTGGACCCGGTTCATTCGAGTAAGTCGACTTAGGGCGAGTTATATCTCGTAATCTGGTTTAATTTAAAGGTAATCCATGATCCGAAGCTTGCGACATGTTTGATAACTTTGCTATATATGTTCACTAACTTGTAAATCTAGATTATCATTATTGAAGTATTTGTTTTGTGATGCCAAACTTGCAGGGGTGCATTCCATATCCATGGAGATGAAGGAACAGAAGCTGACAGTGATAGGGGACATTGATCCAGTACACATAGTGGCCAAACTGAGAAAGCTGTGTTGCACAGAAATAGTTACAGTAGGACCGGCAAAAGAACCTGAAAAGAAGAAGGAAGTACCCAAGAAAGAAGAGCCGAAGAAGCAAGATCAAGATCTTCACATCACAGCTTATCATTACCATTATCCAAATGTTAGAAGTGTTGAGGAGGATCCTAATGCAATTTGTGTCATTTCTTAATTTTTTAATTCTAAATGTAAGAGATATTATTTCGTGAAATAAAAAGTTTCAATTTCATAAAGTTTATGTATACGTGTGTTTGCAGGAACATACTCGAATCTCATCAATATTAAATTTTTTAGATATCCCATCAGTGCATTAGGACTTGTTAAATGTAAATTTCATTGAAAAATTAGGTAGAAGGACAGAGAAAAGTTTCCAACTTGATTTCATTATTTATAAGAAAAATATAAAATATTAAATGAATTAGATACAAAATCTTCAGACCAACTACATGAGATTCCATGCACAGTTATAAAAAACTCAGAACTGATCCAGTTAAGAATCAGATCTTATATTGGGAGGATCAACTTCTTGAATTAACTATTTTTTTTCAAAAATAAAAAAGAGTCATTGAGTCAAATTGAGTTTTAACTTTAGTTAACTGAATGTGAGTCAATTATTTCTTTATTTTTTAAAAATTAAAATCAAATCTAGACCTAGATTTGTTGGGCTAAACCAAGTTTTTGTAGAAGTTAAGGAAGCTACCGATCTGAGCTGAATGGATTCCTCCCGTATCCATCCCGAAAGCAAATCCACCTGTTGGATTGCTTTTACAAAGCTCTGACATTTTATTTTCTTTTAGACTAGTTTCTACTAATCTTTCGTTGAATTATTATCGTCCAGAGATTTATAACCAGTTCTATATATGTTTGGTTTTAATTTGTTTTTTTTTCTTTTTAAGAAATGGAAAATGAAAAACATAGGGATAGCTTTTTAATCAGAACAACAAAGCTACTGAACAATTATTGGTTTCTGATGGATTGTTTAATAAGGGGATAGCTAGTTAGTTAATTAATTAATTTCAATAAACTCTTAATTAATTACAGGACATGTCAATCACAGAATGTGAAATGGAAACAAGAAATACAGACTAATTATAACCTCAGAAAAAAATCAGAGAAAAACTGAAAATAAAGCAAGAAAGGGTTACGGGAGATAATTCATGGAAGGGTGAAATAAACACATTCTATAAATTATTGTACCAAGATGTAAACCCCTTCAAATTTTGAGGATATAAATTATTGCCATGTGCTCGACAAGCGGGTTAGTATGGTAAAATAAAGCGACAACCTCGTTGACCGACTGCGGCCACAAATCCACATGCATGTACTGTGAATCTATTAATTGTCGATACCGCGACCAGGTTCACACTGACCGGAGACTGGAGAGTTGTTTCTGAGAAAGAGGAGCTGGAGTTCCTTTGTAATTGACTTGACTCCATGGTTAATAGCCTCCGGCCATGACTTGTGGGTTGGACTGGTTAAATAAAAGATATTATTTTGAATAATTTTTTATATTAAAATAATATTATTTTAAATAAAAATTAATTTTTTTAAGTAAATCACCCTTGCCATGGGTTGATTTCTTATTGCAAGTTTTTTTTATCAGGTCATCTAGATTTTATCATGTAAACTATAGGAACAACTAAAATTAGCGTAGATTAAGGTCCGATATAGATGTCATAGGATGAGGATTCATTACACCTAAACCGTGTAATGAGCTAACCATCACAAGGTTGGTATTTAACAATTATTTTTCAATGAGCAAAATCTACACCAATTTTACCATTTTTATTTTTCTATTAAAAAAATAAAATAAAAAAAAATTCTCAATAAAATAATTATGCATCTCATAAAAAGTAAAGTTTTTCTTATTAAAAAAATTAGTTAACAGAAAATACTTTCCAGTTAAAAAAAAATTAATTTGAGCTTTATAAAAATATTTTCCTTTTATTTTGGGTAGAAAATACTTTTTACAAATTATAAAAAAATTTAAAAATATCACATTATTAGCTAATTATATCAAATTTGATCATTAAACTTTTGATTGTTATATATATTATTTTGAATCTTTTTTATTCTTCAATTTCATCTCTTAGAATTTAATTTGATTTTATTTTTATATCAATTTTGATTCTCATTTTATTATTATTATTATTTTTTATTTATTTAAAATATTTTTTTTAATTTTAAAATCTTTCAAATTTTTAATATATTAGATTTAATCTCTATTATTTTTATTGTTATTTATTTTATTTGAGATTATTTTTGAAATTAAATTATTTTTTAATTTTATTTTTATTTAATTTTTTTTAATTTATAAGATTTGTTCTTTATTATTGTAATAAACTTAAAAAAATATTAATAATTTATTTTATATGATACTATTAAATATTAAAAAATAAAAAAATATTTTCCGTAAACAAATTAGAAACGAAATTGATTTCCATGCCAGAAACACCAATGTGCTTTCCTTTACTGGTCCTACAATTTCAAGTTCATTGACCATAAGCCACCGCCCCCAGCTTGACTCACTGTTCTCTCCTCACTCCCTCTATAAAACCCCACACGAAGAACTCTTCACCTCATCACCGAGTTTTTTTAGCTCCTCCTCTCGCCTTACCTCTTCACCTCAAACCTTCTTTATTTACCGTTTGATCTCAACTTTTTCTTTGATCACATCTCTCTAAGCTATGGAAATGAAGGTGAGAATCATCTCTCTCTCTCTCTCTATATGTATGCATGTATGTATGTATGTATTCTTTTAGATGACTTGTGTCCATGCATGAAGAATCATGAGCCAGGTTCTTTTCTTTTCCTTTTTCTTTTTCTTTATGTTGATTTACTTATTTTGAGGAAAATCTTGCTTCTTTTTCATAATTCAGTGAGTTTTGGTAGCTCAAGTTTGACTTGGTTAATGTTTCTATGAGATTATTTGGTATTGATTTCAAGTGATTACTGTTTCTTGATCATCTTGATATTGATTCATAACAAAATTTACATGAACTTATTTTGTTGCAGAAAGCTGTGCTGAAAGTGGAGTTGCATGATGAGAAAGCCAAGAAAAAAGCCATGAAGATAGTCTCTGGTCTTCCAGGTATTGAATTTATTTGTTGCTACATATATGGTCATTAATTATCTAATAAATCAAGATCAACGTTGGAAGTATTTATGATATATTTTTTAAAAAAGAACTAGTGGTTTAATTCGTGATTCAAATTTGAAGGGGTGGATTCAGTATCCATCGACATGAAGGACAAGAAGATGACAGTGACAGGGGATATTGATCCAGTATGCATAGTGGCCAAACTGAGAAAGCTGTGTTGCACTGAAATAGTTACAGTAGGACCGGCAAAAGAGCCTGAGAAGAAAAAAGACGAGACGCCGAAGAAGCCAGAAGAAGACAAGAAGAAAGATCCTGAGCCTGTGGCTTACCTGGCCTATCATCCTCATATGCACCCATATTGTTATGTTTCATGTGTAGAGGATACTCCAAATGCTTGTGTCATTTCTTAATTAGACGTTAAAAACAAATATAATATATAGAGATGAAATAAGTGGGGAAAAAAAATAGCTAGCTTAGTGGTGATTTTGGGAAATTTGGATGGTTATTAGAACTTCGCTAGTGATTACACTACAGCTGTACAAAAGCTGATGCTGATGGTGTCGGGTTGTTTTATATTAATGAATTGTGGGTCTTATTTTGGTATCAATGCATACCAATTTGATAGTGATTTTTTATTAATGGACATGTGAGGCATTATTTTGTTACTATTCCAAGATAAAAAAAATTAAAAACAATAAATATAAAAACATATTTCATTACAAAGATAGAGTTATATAAAATAAATATCTCTAAAATATTTTTTTATATTTATTTGTTTTTATCTCAAGATAATAATTAAATTTTATCAAAATGATATAAAGTACGATTGTTTTTCTTTTGTGGGAACTCATGTCAACTTCGTGTTTGGTATATGTTGACACAGAATTTGAGATCAATACGATTACTTTGGTCAAGGTTTTCGCCCATAAAAGGCCAATTTGTTAATGTAATAATGCATGGTGTTCTAAAACAAAATGATTGCAAGAAAAGTACAACATTGTTACCTTAAAAACCTCATCCTCCATGGAAATATGAAAACTAAAGTGATGGATGGATACAACATAATGAACATTGCGATGACTAATGTTGTTTTGGCATATCTTCTACGACCAATCTCAAATACTGTCCTGCAATTCTACTGTTTTGTATGAAGAGGGCAAACCCTTTTCCACTCCAATGACTTTTGGTTTTCTCCTACTATTAGTGTGCTTCACTTTTGTTAGTAAGATAGTGGTAAAGCCCTTCTCCACCTAGACAGGATGCCACCTAATGTTTGTTTTGCATACCACACCGCAAGACACACGTTAATTATTTGGTCTACGCTTTTGTCGTGGGGTAGATATTCCTTTTCAACAAGAAAATTAAACATGTAAGCTTTCTTGACAGGTTTTTTAACTTAAAAAATATTAAGTGTAAATCAAAAAAATTTATGTATATATTTAATTTAAGAATTATTTTTATGTTAACAAATAAAAAAATATCATTAAAGATAAATAAATATATATTTTGACAAGTTGAAAGCCAAATATGAATCAACATACTTGATATTGCAATATTGTATAAAAAAAATAAGAGAAAGAGGCCTACAAGCACCTAACCTGTGTAAAAGAGCCCGCACATGGAATGACTTTTTTGAAAGATACAATTAGAATGAATGACATGTTTTTTGAAAGAAGCAAGTCAGACAACACCTGTTTAATAGAGTCAATCTCGATCATTGTGGTGCCAAAAAAACTAGGGCTAAATGTTTTTTACCTAATAATTAAGAAGAAAAAATATTATAAATGGGGATAAAAATAATCTTAATAACTTAACTTAAATTTTAGATGAAATAAATTAATAAAAGAAATATGTGAAATGTTAATGATAAGTCACAGAAACTTCCTAACTGATTGAATTAATTATTTTAAAAGAGTAATTTTTGTAAATTTAGGGTGAAGGCATTCGGGAAAATACAAGGGATATCTAAATAAATTAATATATAATTTTACATATAAATAATGCCAACAGCCAGTAATTAATAATGCCAACAGCTAGTATAAGCTACGTGTATAATTATGTAGTTTTTTGAAGGGGTAGGAAATCTGAGGAATTTATTTTTTTTATGAATAGGAATGAAATTCCCCAATAAATTAATT